CAATAACAAGAATGGAGAAAGGAGAAAGATTGAAGAGTTATTTCCGAAACTGCATCATGCGGTTGTAGATGTGATCTTTTCTGGAACCCCTTTTCTTAGCTGAGATCTCCCTTTCCCCCCAACAGTTGCTCTGTCAGCTGTGAAATGCTGTCTGTTTCGCTGGAGACTTGACCTCCTGCCAATGGATGACTGACTTGAGACTGGAGCTGGGGATGGGGCAGGGGGAGGAGGTAAGAGGTAAAAGAGCCAGTCCCCTGGCATCAAAGTGGGAAGTTAGTTTCCAGGCTCAGCTACATGCTTCAGTAGCTTGTTCTCTTCTCCTATCCTGTTTTCTTTGCCGCCTAAGTAAACCACTTTCTTAAGAATCCCGACTCCTAACTCTCTCTGAGACACTAATGCCCAAGGTGAAAGACCTTACGAAAAGACCCATAGCTGCAAAGGGAATGTGGAGGAAAGCAAAAGAGGCCCTTAGGCTCTTATTTCATCCCAGACTTCATAAATCCTTCTGACTGGTTGACACTTTTCCTATAAAGAGACACACAATGAGGTGGTTCTTCTGACAATCTGCCAGTAAGTTCATTCTCCACTTGGGGTAGAAAAATATTAACACTGATTGCCTGATTAATGCCTCCAAATTTTTCCTGAAATATTAAACTCTTTTAAACTTGCAGCTTTACCACTGAAAAATTGCTTCAGCTAGGCCTTGGAGGATGGCATTATGTACAGCGAATCTTTTTGATTAGTTGAAAAAATACAGATTAAAATTGAATTATCAATGAAATATGTTGAATTTAAAGTCAGATGAAAATCATGTGAGTCTGGAAAATACATATTTATCATGGGTGTTTTCCAGAACCTTCTATTTACCTGGCTAAAATATTTTTAAAAGCACTTTAAGTTCTGAATAAGGATTTTACTTTCTTATTAAAAAGAGCAGTCTGTCATTGGTTTTAATGCTGAAACCAAAGGTCTTTGAATTGGTTGTTTTTTATAAAGTGAGCTCTCAGTAGTTTCTAAGCTTAGCCTATCATAGGTTATAAAATGGATCATATTTATTTCAGATAAAAAATACGTTGGAAACAGTTTTAAGTATTAGGAAAAGAAAACATACTTTAAAAATAAATGGTATGAAACTTTATAAAGATCTTTGGAAGCGACAGTGAGAGAGTGTTTTACAATTAGTCGTGTTGTCAGACTAGAACAAATAAGGGACAGGGATTTGCTTCAGGATGAATTAGTAAAATGATAATCATTCCTAAAGAAGGACTAATTGTATGTATACATATAGCTGATTCACTTTGCTGTACAGTAGAAATTAACACATTGTAAAGCAATTATATGCCAATAAAAATTAATTTTTAAAAGGACTAATTATTAGAGAGATCAAATAGAAATCAGCAAAACAACTGAAACAAGTCTAAGAAAGGACCGAGAATGGTTGGAAAAAACCTTTAAATGTGGTCACTTGAAGGATAGACGTATTAGATTTTGGTGGTCTGTCTTTCACCAAGGCATCTTGTATTGGCTATCTAAAGCAGTATGCAGTATTTGGCAACATTTCATTCAGCCGTTGAGGAAAATATTTAAATCAAATATATTCCTTGAAAACAATCTTTAGACAAATAAAGTGTTACAGGAGTGCTTTCTGGACAGGTTTCTAAACACACTGAAAGTCCCCAAAGTTATCTTATTATAGATTTTTCCTATGAGAAACTTATATATTTGCAAGACAAAGAAGCAAACAAACATAAGGAAGAAACCAGAGAAATTAACTTCCAAAACCCCAAGAAAGTTCCAATATAGAAGCCTAAATGCCAGAGATACAGATCTTAATGTCTTCCCAGAGCTACTGATGAGGCATTTCAATCTTGTCTCAGATATCATGTTTATCGAACATCTGTTTCAATGTGCCAGGTTTCTAAACATATTTCAGGATTGTAACATGATAGAAGAACGAGGTAGAAATTCTGGTTTAAGCTGGACGTGCCCAGGGCTTCCCGTTCCCAAACTGCAAAATATTTGTTTGCCTTCCCCTATCAGCACCTCAGGCTAAATGTGTCCTAAACCGATCTCTCTCTCCTCCTCCTTCAGCTTTATCTCCTCACTGCCTTTCAGGCTTCAATGGGCTTTCAGCCTGGCTGGTAACCTCAGATTCCTGTGGAGTCCACCTCCAGATCTCCCCCGCCCCCCATCACCACTCCCAGTCCGACAGTCTCAGTTCTCACTTGTCCTGTGACGGCCCCTCCCGAAGGCCTCCTCCACTCCCCTCTAGAATCTTCTACACATCCCACTTACTGTTGCCCTTTGATTGTAGCCTTAACATTGTCCCTGACCTAAATGACTGTATACAAAATAGATAAGCAACAAGGACCTACTAAATAGCACAGGGAACTAAGTTGTAATAAACTATCATGGAAAAGAACCTGGAAAAGTATATACATATAAAACTGAAGCACTTTGTTGTCCACCAGAAACTAATACAACATTATAAACCAACTCTTGCTAAAAACTTGGCCCCCAGTGGAATGGTTTCTATACACTAGCCTGGCATCTAATTAAGAGCGTCCCTTTTCTATAAAAAAGCAGTTATATGAAGTGGACTAGCTCACACTGCTGGCAGCTGCCTGCTCTGTAGTTATGATAAAGAAAAATAGAAGTCTGTACTGAGACATTACACACCATAATATGTTGCCCACACATGCAGTCTTGTGAGAAATCTGGGCAGGAATATTTTTTATATCCCTCCCTTGCTTAAACTATCATCAAACTCAGAGTTCCCCCCACTGCCAGCCTGCGTCTTCTATCGCCATAATAGCAGCTTGTCCCAAACTGTAGTCTCTTCCAGGGTCCAGCTCAGACCTACATCCAGTCTTGGGTCCTTCTTTCAATTCTCAAAGGACCATCATCAGGTATTGCCTTGAAGAATCACTTGGTTCATGTCTTAACATCCCAGAAAGTTTGAAGGCATCCAGGTGGGGGTCAGGGCAGGCACTTTTCTGCTCCCACTTACCATGAAAGTACATTTTTTTCCGCATGGAGAAAAACCTGTTTAACACTGATTCAAATTTTTATTCTATTTTCCCCCAGCTTCATCAAGATATAATTGACAAAACTGTAAGATAAAATGTGCACAGTGATGACCTGATGTAAGTATATGTTGTAAAAGGATTTCTCCCATCCTTTTAACTAACACATTCATCACCAATACTGATTTTTTAAAATAAATTTATTTTGTATTGGGGCATAGCTGATGAACAATGTTGTGATAGTTTACGGTGAACAGCTAAGGGACTCAGCCACACGTATACATGTATCCATTCTCCCCCCAGCACCCGCTCCCATCCAGGCTGCCGCATGACACTGAGCAGAGTTCCATGTGTTGCTATAGAGTAGGTTCTTGGTGACCAACACGGATTTTTAAAGACTGTGTAAATTCATATCTTCTGGTGTGATGAAGAAGAGTTACAAGTTTGACCAGAGTGACCAGAATTAGACTTTATGAAGTTGAACTCTGCAACAATTAGATGTAAATAGAGAAGGGAACTTCTCAGCTCCTCTTCCAGTTGCCTTGAGGTTGTGCCAGCTTTTGTGTTTCCTTGGGCAGTGTCATTTCACTGAAAATTTGACAAGTGTGTAGTAATTGGACTGCAAGGAAAAACTGCAATTGAAAAGAATGTTTACTACAAACTATACTATTAAGAGCAGAGTTCTGACAGCTTTAATTTCCATTAAAGGATTTTTTTTTTTTTAATGTTGCTTCCAGTGAAAGCATTGTGGTCATCCTGGATTGGACAGGTGATAGTTATTACTATAAAATCAAAAGACATCATCTGAGGCCAAGAAGTTCTCAGAGATAATAATGAATGCATGTAGGATGGTTGGATGGAATCCAAGAAGAGTTGCCATATCTTTGATTTCATTTAATTTTAGAAGCACACACAGGGAGTTCTACCAAGGGCCTTCAAGTGGGGTGAATGTGGGTTTCATTTGAGGTTCTGCTACAGTGGGACCTAAGGCAGGTGACTCCTTCTCTGTGCTTTAAAGTCTGGGGTCTGATCTTCATTCTGCCACTGACCAGCTGTATACACTCTTGGACAATTTATTTCATTTCCCCGTGATTGTTTCTTCATCTTAAAAATGGATTATTCTAATATCCACTTCATAATCTTGTTTTTACTAATGAGATCATACTTGGAAAGCACTTAGAACAGATCTTGAGAGAACACATGTAACTGTTTTATAACTAGAAGCTGTGGCTGTTACCAACACTAGTCTCACGGTTATTTATATTTCCCTGCAGGGTTGTAGAGAAGGTTAAATGAAAGCACTGCTCACCAGGACAGACTACAAGATTTGCAGGTCCCAGTAGAAAAGGCAAATGTAGGGCCCTCTGTTCAAAAATCACTAAGAATTTCTAGAGTGGAGTTAAAACAAGCGCAGGGCCTCTGCAACTGCACGGATTGCACACCCAGGCGGCGGCGGCCGGGGCGCTGGAAAAAGCAGAAGCGTTGGCACACAGTGGGCGCTTAATAAATGCTCATGCACTTTCAGGACAGCGCACGCCGCCAGCACGGTTACCACGGACCCCTCCCCAGCCCCTGTCCCCTCGTTGTCACTAGTCCCTGACCCGAGGACAAGACCCAGAACTGCGCCCGCGGGGGAGCCCGGCGGTGAGGACCGACCTCCGGCCCCGCCGTCCCCAGTGGCTCTGGCCCGGCCGAGCCTCCGCCTGGCCGGATGGGGCCTCTCGGCGGCCGCGCCGCACCGCCCCCCGGGACAACTTCGGGAGGATCGGGGTCTGCCCGGCGCCCCCCGGGCGCGTCTCGGGGGCCCGGACGCCTCGCAGCCCGGCCGAGGATTCCGGGTCCCGCGGGCGCCGCCAGCGTCCGGGGCCCCGCCGGCCCGCCGCAGTGTTTACCGGTTGCCCGAGGAGACGCGCCCGCGCGTACCGCCGGCTCCCGCGCCCACCGGTCCGAGCGCGCCTTGGGACCCCGGCCGCCATGAGCTCCTCCGGCCCGCGGCGTCCGCCGCCCACCGGCCCCGCCGCCTTCGGCGCCTCGCTGCCCGCGCCCGAGGTACCGTCGCAGCCCGCGGGCGCGCGCCGGGGCGGCGCCGGCGGTCTGTCTCTGCCCGGGAGGGCGCCGGGGAGGCTCGGCCCGGTCTGCGCGCGGCGCTCCTCGCCGGCGAGCTCTCCTCTCGGTAGCCCGGGTGGATCGTGGTGGGAACGTCCCCGCGTCGGAGAGGGACTTGGCATTGCCAGAGGCCGGCGAACTTGAGGAAGTGAGGGGGCAGGTTGTGAGTTTGTGAAATGCGGCTGAACTTGAGGTTGTACCAGGTCGCGTCTCTTGGTCATCTACACGGGTGACATTCTCAAAACAGTGTATTTGACTCCTGTAGACCCTCCCCGAACCCCCGCCCCCGGCGCCAAGAATTTCTTGCTTATATCTTAAACTCCTTAGCTACTGAGAGACGTGGTTCAGAGCAGTTTCTTCAAACCGGAGGTGGTAAGGTTAATACTACAGTCTTGAGGGAAGTCGCTGCTCTTTTCGTTGCTAATCATTTCAGGAACGGTCATTCCGTTGTCGGATCCATTTACTTGTCTTTTCCCAGGTGGGCATCGCGGACTTGCAGGCTCAGCCTGGGTTAAGTGTCCCATGATGGACCCCGCGCAGGGGCCCACCCCGCAGAGCGTGTGTCAGAGGTTCCCCACGAGGGGGAACTCTGTTCAGTCGAACTGCTTGCTGACCCCAGAGGTGTACTCAGCTCAGCTGACCACAAAAATCCCTGGGGCACGCTCTTAACAATTCAAAACTTGGGCTGGATTCTCAAGCTGTAGGGAATTCTAACATTCAGCAGCTTTGGTGGCTGCCTTTACATCTGACCAGATAGTGCCTTCCTTCTATTTAGATTTTTTTGATTCTTGATGTGTTTGTGGAAAACTAGTGCCATCTTGTACAAATAAAATTAGTTTTTCTTCCACTAGAAAATTTACATATTTTGTCCCTATCTTGTATCCTTTGTGCGTTAAGAATATAAGCCCATGCATAAGTATGTAGAGTTTTTGTACTGCTTATATTTGTTTGAGGGAACAAATTGAAAGTAAATTACAGACCTCATGGCCCTTCATCTCTGAAAAATACTCTGGTGTGAGTCTCCTAAGAACAAGAGAATTTTCTAACCAAAACACAATGATCAAATTCAGTGTGTTTAACATCTTTATAATAATATTATCTAATGCCCATTATCTGCTCTTTTGCCAGTTGTCCCAATAATGCCATTTACTGCAATTTTTTTTTTTTTCATTTCAGGATCACACATTGAATTTAGCTGTGTGTCTTTAGTTTCTGTAAACCTGGAACAGTTCCTCGATCTTTCTTTGTCTTCGGTGATATTTTTGCAGAATCTAGGTCACTTGTTCTGTAAAATAGGTTTATCAGATTGTTCTTCATGAGATTTTTGGTAGGAATACTATCTAAGTGATGTGTCTCAGTTCATCAGAGCAGGAGGTATATGGTGTCAGTTTGTCCCACTATTGGTGATGTTCCTAATTGGTGACATCTGCCCATTTTCTACTGTAAAGGTGGAAAAATAATTAGTTTTAGTAATACATGATGATCATATTGAATAATCCTACTGATATTTACTGAGATTTTTAGGGTAAATTTTACCACCTACATAAAGGAAAATATCCACCAAGGCCAAGACTTTTAAAAAAATTATTTTTGGCTGCTCGGGGGCTTCCTTGTTGCTCTCGGGCTTTCTGTAGTTTTGGAGAGCCAGACTACTTTCAAGTCTGGGTGCATGGGCTTCTCATCGCGGAGACTTCTCTTGTTGCGGTTCCTGGGCTCTAGGAGAGCAAGCTTAGCAGTTGTGACTCACAGGCTTAGTCGCCTATCTCATGTGGGATCTCCCGGAACTATGGATCGAACTGGTGTCCCCTGGATTGCAAGGCAGATTCTTAACCACAGGACCACTGGGGAAGCCCCCAAGCCTAAGACGTTAATTGACCTGAAAGACCTGAATTTTACTGAGAAGCAAAATGCCAGCATTTACTGTAATTACTTTTTCAGTTTCCAAAATACTTACCTGAGACAATCTTACAACTCAGATAGGCAGGGCAGGAATTTCCCATTATACACAAGATATAGCTTGTTCAGTTAGCAAATAATGGAACAGTAACTTAAATATCTTTCTTTTGAAAGTTTAGTGCTTTCTCTGCCATACCATTATGCACTGAAAAACAGATTAAAATACTAAGTAGGGATAATAACCAAGTGTATGAGGAAGTAGAATACTGCAGGGACTAGAAGTATTAGCTATGAGTTCAGGCGGTCCTGATTACACCACTTAACTGTGACACTTTGAGCAAAAAAAAAAAAAAAAAAAAGACAATGTCTCAGAACTTAGTTTCTTCATCTGCAACATGGGATCATAAAGCTTATGACATAGCGTGGTTTGGGGATTCACAGTCAATATATGTAACGCTGCCAATGGGGTGACTGAATACATCACTGTTGGGAATTTGAGCAAGTTGCTTTCCTCTTTGTGAAACAAGAGTTAGAATAGCTGCCCGATGGAGTTATTATGAGAAGCAAAGGTAAATAGCAACATGGCCTATCAGCAGCTATAGTTCTTCAAAGGAAAGAGGACTTAAACTGGTCGTGTATAATTATGAAAGAAGTAAAGTCATTTTTTCTTTATTTCCCCGCCATTTCAAACATTTAAAAAATTATGGTAAGATACACATAACATAAAATTTACTGTCTTAGCAAAATTTAAGTGTACAGTTCAGTAGCCTTAAGTACGTTGCTTTATTGTGCAACTATCATCACCGTCTATCTCTGAAACTCTTTTCATCTTTCAAACTGAAATTCTGTGCACACTTAACAGTAACTCCCCATGCCCTCCTCTCCCCAGCCCCTGGCAACCACCATTCTTTTTCTGTGTCTGAATTTGATTGCTCTGGGCACCTCGTTTAAGTGGAATCATACTGTATTCATCCTTTTGTGACTGGTTTGTTTCACTTAGCATAGTACCCTTGAGGTTCATTCATTCATCCATGTTGTATTATTAATAGTACGTGCATTAGAACTTCTCCCCTTTTGAAGGCAGAATGATATTCCATTGCATGTATATGTCATGTTTTGCTTATCCATTCTTCTGTACTAAGACACTTAGACTATATTATTGTGAATAATGCTACTATGACTATGGGTATACAACAGATCTTCAAGATCTTCCTTTCAGTTATTTTGAGTATAAGAATTATAATTGCTGGATTATGTAGTATTTCAATTTTCAATTTTTTATAAAGTTTTTTCTTTTTGATATTTATTTATTTGGCTGCACTGGGTCTCAGTTGCAGGTTTCAGTATCTTTAATTGTGGCATGCAAACTCTTAGTTGTGGTCTGTGTATCTAGTTCCCTGACCAGGGATCGAACCTGGCCCTCTGAATTGGGAGTGTGAGTCTTAGCCACTAGACCACCAGCAAGGTCCCCAATTTTCATTTTTTTTGAGGAACTGCCTTACTGTTTTCCATAGTAACTGCACCATTTTAATTCTTATCAGCAATGCACAGATGTTCCAATTTCTCCACATCCTTGTCCATACTTGTATTTTCCCTTCCTTCCTTTTTCACATTCTCACTCTCTCCTTCCTTCCCTCCTTTCTTTCTCCCACTCTTTTTTTCCCCCATGTAGTCAGCCTAGTGGGTGTGAAGTAGTAACCATTTCCACTTTATTCCATTTCCTTTCTCTTTGATTTGTTCTGTTTTTTTTTGTTTTCTCCTCCTTTTAATCAAACTCAAATTAAGAAAAGATCTGACTCTAATAAAATGGCTTCATGTGAATTTAAGTCAGAAGCCTTGGTATTCTAGGTATAAAGGAAAACAACCTGAAGCCTCCCACAAAGGTAAGAAATGAGAGAGAAAGAAACAGAAAAAGCAAAGTAAAAGAAAAAAAGACGATGAAAAGAAATACAAATATGTCAGTAATTATAATAAGTGTAAATGGATTAAATGCTCAGTTAACCAATAAAATTGTCAAAGAATTTTTAAAAGAATTTCAGGTGTATGCTATTTATGAAAGACATATTTAAACAAAAGTATATGGGAAGATTGAAAGCAACATGTTTGAAAAGATTTACCAGACACATAGTAAGCACAGGAAACCTTATTGGATATGATAATATTATACAGAATACTTTTAAAGCAAAAAAGCATTACTAGAGGTAAAGAAAGTCACAATGATGATACAAATTATATCACTGCCACATAATAATAAAAATTATTATTTATCAGAAAAAGTTACAACAATTCTAAATGTATATGCATCTAATAAAATGGCCTCAAAATATGTAAATCCAAAATAGACAGAAGCAAAAATCTCTGAGGAGACATAGGCAAATCTACCCCTACAGTAGAACAGTTCTAATAAACATCTGTATGTATCGGAGAGATCCACCAGACAAAAATTTGGCAAGGGAACTATTAAAAAGCTAAAAATACAAAAATGTTTAAGTCATTATGAAGAAGAATAAAAGGATATAAAATATTTGGGCTATATATGGCTGTAGAAGTTAACCAGATGGCTTTTTTTCTTTGCCCAAGGGAATAAATACTTTTTGGACTATGAAACAACCAATTGGACCATGTCCTAGAAAGTGTATTGGTAGAGATTGAACTAGATAACTAATTAAATGTTTTTTCTTGTTTCAAATAAAAAAGGGCTTTATACAATTAAAAATTATTGATAACCATCTGATCATGAGTTCAGCTCAGTTCAGTTGCTCAGTTGTGTCCGACTCTTTTCAACCCCATGGACTGTAGCACACCAGGCTTCCCCATCCATCACCAACTCTCGGAGCTTGCTCAAACTCATGTCCATCAAGTCAGTGATGCCATCCAACCATCTCATCCTCTATCGTCCCCTTCTCCTCTGTCTTCAATTTTTCCCAGCATCAGGATCTTTTCCAATGAGTCTGTTCTTTGCATCAGGTGGCCAAAGTATTGGAGTTTCAGCTTCAGCATCAGTCCTTCCAATGAATATTCAGTACTGATTTCCTTTAGGATGGACT